TTCCTCAGGTGACTGACAGTGTCAGTGCAGGACGTCACTAGATCGTCAGCAAGAACAGTCCATCCACAACTACATTCAGAGTGATATTATAGTAAGTCTACAGTGTATAAACCCCTCATTACAAAGACGATGCACATTTGAGAGTTCAGTAAGCTCTGGTCTACAGAGAATCTAGAGATCTAGTCAGATGAGTCATCCTTCACCGTGTTCTCCACAAGTGGGAGAGTGCATGTGCAGCATACGCCAGGAGAGCAGTACAGGCCTGAATGCTTGACCCCTACAGTGAGCCTTTGTTATGCTGTTTTGGGTCCATGTTTCCTCTTAGAGGGAGAGGTCACTGCAAATCAATACAGTTGAAGTTATTCAGACTGATCACCTTTCTATGAAACATTTCTATCCTGATGGTAGTGGTCTCTTCTAGGCCCCCATGCACAGAGCACAAGAGGTCACTGAAAGGTTTAATGAGCATGAAATCAATGTAAATCATATGCTCTGGCCTTTGCATCATCAAAGCACCAACTGAGGGAACCTCTTTTGGTAGACCAGACACTTGTAGAATCTATATCAAGGTGCACTGAAGCTGTTTTGGTGGGTTGTGGTCTCGCAACACCTTACTAAGACATTTATGAGAGTTTGTGAGCTTTAAAAATTCAAAAATTGGAATTTAGCCTCGCAGCTCAAAAGTGCTTTTTTTAGGAATTCCACCCATTTCCAGAATTTCTGCACAATTAAACAGGTAAGATGTTAACAAGGTCATTCAGAGTGGTTTGATGTGAAATGCTCTGTATTAGAGAAACTCACCAAGTCAGAATTGTTCACAGTGGTGATAGGAACCAGGCATCTGAAGAGTTTAATGCCTCTAAAAGCTCCCTCACAGAACGTTATTACATTAAATGGTTATGAATACTCTGCCTGATGCCTGAGACATTATTTAAAGATAGTTTTGAGAAGATTTTGGCCTAAAACATAAATCTACAACCTCTGTTGCAGAGAGATTATAAAGCAAACTATTCCCCAAAGACGATTATCCTTTATTTTTTTCAGATTTCCTGCTATTTTTTGATGCCAAAATTATGTATACAAACTCAGAAGACACGTGTGGTTCACTGGTGGTTTTGAATAGCAAATAAAATGGCTAAATTTACGTTTTAGCTCCCTGGTTCCTATCACCACCACTGTATAGAAATCTGAGTCGGTAAGTTTCTCTGCAGTTAATCATTTCACATCAAACCACTCAGAATGACTTTATTTACATCTCAGCCGCTGTATTAATATGATGAATAGCATAAGAATTAAGGATCAACACACCATCCACATGTGTGTGAGTGTGTAAATGAGATCTGAATGAGATGCAGAGCAAGCCGACTGTTTCACTAGTTAATAGCCGGTCTGGCAGCTCTGTTCACATATGTATGCATTAGATGGATGATGCCGTGTGCACAGAAGCGTGTGTGTTTCAAATAGGCATGTCAAGAGGCAAGTAAGTGTGTCTGATACATTCAGAATATAAAGAGTGTGACACACATATCAAGTGTGTGACGCGCTTGTGATGAGCACATTCACATCACTCTGTATGTGTTTGTATGACTGTGAGTGAGAAAAACTCTCCTCTTCGGATCTGACTGACAGCTTAACTCTTCATGAATACGCTGTGCGTCAAAGGTTTGGGAAAACCTTGCTTCTCCAAGTATTGTTTAGTACTGCATGATCATATCGTTGGCTTGGTTTACAATAATGTAACATTAAAGTCAACCTAAAATCAAAATAGACCTGTTTTACCTCGTTAGTTTTTGTTCCTGCTGAATATTAAATGCAGTTAATTTTATCATAAAATCTAAAAGACATAATTCTTGTTTTACTGTAATCTCTGATGAAAGTGCAGTGAATTTTGCCACGTGCTCTGATTTTTGATTACATCATTGTGCAGCTATAGGTGGGGAAAAATCATACTAACCAACTACGAAGGGAATATTCGTGAACAAATTTTGGGTTGGCTTGACCAATCCAGCTGATGACACTTTAGGTGGTTGCTAAGGTGTTGCTAGGCAACTGCTATGTTACTCCAGGTGGTTGCTAACGTGTTGCTAGGCCGTTGCTGCAATATTCCAGGTGGTTGCTAAGGTTTTTCTAGGCCAATGCTATGTTACTCCAGGTGGTTGCTAGCATGTTGCTAGGCCACTGCTGCCAGATTCCAAGTGGTTGCTAAGGTATTGCTAGGCAGCTGCTATGTTACTTCAGGTGGTTGTTAAGGTTTTGCTAGGCCACTGCTAGGTTACTCCAAGTGGTTGGTAACATGTTGCTAGGCCGCTGCTGCAGTATTCCAGGTGGTTGCTAAGGTGTTGCTAGGCCATTGCTATGTTACTCCAGATGGTTGCTAACATGTTGCTAGGCCGTTGCTGCAATTTTCCAGGTGGTTGCTAAGGTTTGGCTACTGCTATGCTTCCCCATTTGGTTACTTAGGTGTCACTAGGCCATTGCTATGGTATACCAGGTGGATGCTAAGGTGTTGTTAGGTCGCCACTACACTTGCTACAATGTTCCTGGGCCATTGCTATGGTACCCCATGTGGTTGCTAAGGTGTTGCTAGCATACTGATTTGACCAGACCTTGTATACTGAATGTGGTGGAAACAGAGGTAAGGGTATAAGCTTTATATAGTAAATAAATATAAAGTTATAATAATAGAGTAGAATCGTCCCCTTCCCACCACCTCCACCTATAATCACGAGAAAACTCTCAGTTAGCTCAGAGACCCTGTTTGATACCATGTTTCACCGTGTTCACTCAGAAATCCCTCACAGTACTGAAGGAAAATGCTTTATAATTTTTTATTCTTTGACTTTAAAGACTAAACAGTTTTATTTTGAGAAAAATTATATCAAATGTAAATATTAGTGACCGTGATAGCTTAGGAACAATTCCACACATTTTTCCCTTTGTTGTGTTGCCAGCGCTCATCAGCACTCAAACATTTCAGGGGTTTTAAACTTTGGGCCACAAAAGTTTCAGTTAGGGGTGAGCACGGGTACTCGAGGACTCGGTTAACCATTTAAGGTGCCAGTATTTGAATACTGAAATCACTATTTGGCTATTTGTTATGTTTCATCATGGGAAGACAATAGAAATTATACTGGCCAATAGTTCAGTGAAATGCTGATTTTATGTTTAAATATGCAGTTTTAATCGGCAGTTTTGTGAGTAAGTATGTTATACTGTGTTACTGCAAGACACGAGTGCTTGAACGGGAGCATATTTCCAAGGACACGTTGTCAAGGATGTAAGTGTTAGCTCATCAGCTCCTCTGAGGTAGCTTCCGTTATTTCCTTGGTATTTTTTTTAATATTAAAAATAAAATGTTTTCAAATGTTCACCTCCAGTTCTACCACCTAAAAATTAAACCTACAGCCCTAAACTAATTTCAGGAATTTGTTTTCCCTTTTGCTGTTGCTTTTTCATTCCTTGCGGTTAACCAGATGTCTGTATATTAACAGATGTTTGAATATCAAAATTAGTCGGAAGGCACATCCCTGGTTTCAGTGTGTGCTTTTAACAGTAGTCTGGAAAAGAAAACTGTCAAATCGATAGCTGAGTTCAACAAGCTTGCCTGGGGTCCTGGTGGGCCCCATTTCTAGACCGCTGCCTCAACCAAGGCTGTCGCAATCGGAAGAATCCTTCAAATACAGCCGAGAAATTCAGCCTACTGGCAGTTTTCAAGGATGCTAGTGGATTATCCTTATCTTCTGTCAGTCACGACCCTTTGCACACACACCTCACCTGAGGAAAGTTCAAGATAGATGTCAGCAGAAGAAAAAAAACTACTACAGGTTGTGTGAAAAGGCCAGTGAAATATATAGTAACTTGTACAGTACACTGTTTGTTTAGCCGTGAATCTGTTTAAAAGGGTGTAAATTGAATGCAGGGTGTGAAATGCACCTGTTTTCGGTGAGTTGAACGAGTTTAGCTGCAACACAGCATTTAATTACAAACAGATTGTTTTGTCTACCACATATTACATCATTAACATCAATATTTTGCTTGCCAGCTTATCTTTCAGAACAATATTTTCTTTATAAAATTTTGTGCGCATTTATAGGACAGTCCTGCCGAGGACTGCAAACCTGCTTTTGCCTAAATAATAGCTTTCATGAAAGAAAGCTTAATGTTGAAGCTTAAGACACACAGCATTAGCACATAGATGTTTTATATGAATAAAACTTTTGCAGATATAAGTAACAGTGATAAAATGCACACTTCAGAAGGAAAAGGTGTCCCTAAACTATTGACAGACACCGAAGATGCACTCAAAAAAAGGTTCATGATTAAAATATGTGACATCAACACAAAGTTAGTTTTTTGTTGGGAAGAAATGTGTTGAAGCAACATATTTTATTTGTGTGCAACCACTTGACACATTGTAGTCACATAAATTCAGTGCCGTTTTTTCAGTGCTGTTCAGAAGACTGAGAAAATGATCTGTAAAGCCATTTATCTCAGCAGTGCGCATTTATTTGTTCAAAAACACTAAAGTTAGAAAAAAAACACATTTCCAAATCTCTCCTCGAGGAAGGTACACGCTGTCTGCTGAGATAAATAGCTCTAAACCAGTTTTATGCTGCCTAACACGTCTACGCAGTGCTGTATATCTGTGGGAGAACGTGTTTGTCTGTGTATTTTTTGCAGTTTAAATCATATTTACTTCTGAGAGTTTAGCCAAATTAACATTCTGTGCTCTCACTGACCCGTGTGTAAGGAAGCATCTGTTTGGGTTTTGCTTTTTCTATTCACGTCTGTCTGAAATCGCCGTTCTGGCAGGCACTCATGGGATATGTAGTCTCTCATCTGTTGATTTTTCTCGTGTCTCATGCGAATATCCCCATATGTTCCAGGTACATTCAGAACTCTCAGCCCTACCTGAACAACATGACGGCAGTGGGCTGCATGATGGCTCTGGCCGCTGTGTTTCCGCTGGGCATCGATGGCCTGCATGTCCGTAGGTCACAGTTCCCCGTGGTCTGCCAGGTAAAGCACTCGCACTCATAGAGAGAAATGGACAACATGTCTTTATCATCTCTGTCATGTAGAAGAAGGAAAAAGCATGAATAACTCCCAGAACCCTTGGCTAATTATTGCGTAATTAATCTTAGGCGTTATTATTATTAGTACCTACCACTTAGCCCTTAGCCCTCTGTTTTGTTGCCTTCATGTCTAGGGGTAGGGTATCCTGATTTTTGTCGAGATGGAGGGGTAGGGTGAAGTGTTAGGGCTACATGGGCCTCCAAACGGAGGTTTTTCAGAGGCACGCTACAAATGGAGTGTTATGAGAAAAGACATACGGCAAGATGGCTGAACAAGAGACCATAGAAACACACAAATATGAGAATTTTCTCTGTTAAAAATTGTGATAACAATTGTATTATTTCAGTTTAATGTCATTTCAATGAATTAGGTCCTTTTCTTCATAACAAGTATAAAATATCACTAGTAGTGTGCTGATGTCTTGGTAGCTAGCTAAATTTCCCATTCCACCTTAAATAGTCCAGCAGTACTGATGCCTGAAGCATCATAATGTAACTGCTGCTCCATTTAAGGTGAAACAGGAAAATTCAAACAGCTGGCGAATATCTGGCTTCAGCTTCATATCACCAAAGAATTAGCGGTGGGCAATAATAAATAATTATCACACCCCCCCCTCTCTGAAGGCATATGATGCCCTAAATGTAACTAAAGCACAACAGTGAGGAGCTGAACTTTACCCTCCTCTGCTGTCACTGCAGACTGGCAGGGTCACCTACAGAGCAGCGCTAGTAGCTGTTAATGAAGTAATGCTCTTTTTTATTTGAGGGTCCCATTTCGTAGGGAAGATTTCAACAACTACCCCTCATAACTCGTTTCAAGGGGCAAGATGAGACTCGAAAACAAGGGGTAGGGGTAAAAATAAGAAATGGGATTGGGCCTTATTCATCTGAAAAAAATGTAATGTAAAGCCAATTATCAGGACAAACATATTAGAATAAGCCCAAATGAACAATACTCTGTGATGTGATGTGTGAGAGCTTAAAAGGCTCATATAACGTATATTCCTTACATATTTAGAAATAAGAGTTTGCTGTTGTATGTGAACACTGTTAAAACATACCATCCATATTTTCCTTTTTTACAGTCTATATATGTAAACTAAGCTGCAAAAGCAGCCTGTTTGGAGTTACCGTTGTTGTGATGTCATGAAAACCATCACATTTGCATATATCCACCTATTCAGCCTACAGCAGTTTAGCTCCACCCACTCAGACTGAAGTTATAAGGAGTGTTTCAGCCTGGACTGCTCTTTGAATGAGGCACAATACAGGGCAGCCAATCAGAACAGAGTTAATTTACATATGTGTCTTTTTCCGTCCATGTCTTTCTCTGTTTTAGTCTTGGTTTTCTTGTTCTCCTGTGCCATGTGTTTTTGTTTACGTCTGCCATGTGGCTTTGTTTTCTTGTGCCATGTGCCTCTGTTGTTGTTTTGGTCTGTCTCCTCCCTGGTCCTGCCCCCTTATCATCTGCTCCACCTGCCTGTAGTCTGTAGCCCCGCGCTCTCATTAGTTCCGGGTGTTTCTTGTTTCCTCTCAGTGTATTTATAGCTGTGTTTGCGCCGTCCCTTTGTCTTGCATTGTCTATGTTACCCTGTTGCTTGTTTTCACTTATCTTGTTTGTTTTGTTTCCAGTTTAGTCTGTTCTACAAACCTCTGCTACTCAGTTTCAGGACTCTTTTAAATCTGATTTAAATAAAAGCAACTCGCGCTTGCGTCCAGCCTCATCTCCTACATTACAATATATCAGTTGTGAACACACCATGACAAAACTAGCCTGTTTATTTTAAGTGATAAAGAGAAGTTGGAAAATGTTCATGTAAAAATAATATATGACTCTTTTTGGTTCAAAAATGACACAAACATATTAAGTGGAGCTTGGCTAAAAAGGTAATGAGCCATTTAACCCTTGTGTGGTGTTCAGGTCTGTGGGACCCGTTTTCAATGTTCACCAAAAGAAAAAAATGATGTGATTTATTATTATTTCAACCTCAGATTCTTGGCCTTTGCTCATTTTCTGTGAAGAGCATATAAAATAACCCATTTTCAGTGCTTCACTCTGTTCACCCCCACACATTTATATTACACATGTGGTGTTGGGCTGAACCAGCGGGGAATAAAAGTGTGGAGGTCCTTCACTCTGTTCTCCTCCTACATGGCCTGCTGTTAGTGTGTGTGTCCGTGTGTGTGTGTGTGTGTGAGAGGGTGGACAACATGGACAGGCTGCTGACTGGCTACAGCTGCTAAAGGAGAACCCTACGCTGGACACTTGTGACATTTTAAACATCTGGTATTTTTACATAAATTGTTTTGGCTGTACTGATTTAATAAAACAATAATGTGGTGAGTCCAGCAGACCACTGAGTAACAAACACATCAACACCACACAAGGGTTAAGCATTTCCAATGCTCTCCTCAAGGATGTCCAGTGTTTACAGTTACTATCCAATACCTAGTTTATCTAATCAGCCATTCATTAGATTAAATCAGGTGCTGCTGATGGAATTTAACAAATTCATCTGATGGCTGGAGTGCAGTGAGAAGTCATGAAGTAAACCTGTATTCTTCTGTATTCTTCTAACCATATTCATAACTATTTCATAAACAAGAAATTTATGTATTTAATTTAACGTTATATAGTTTTTTTATTGGCAAGATAAATAGTTTTAATCAGTTTTCCAGGCTGCCTAAGACTGATGGACAGTTCTGTATGTAGTTAGGAGAGTGAGTAATTTAAGTGTTGGCCCACATAAAGGCAGGTAGGGCCAGTTTCCCATTGTACCTGACATTTAGTCATTCACTATGCTTAATCTGTAAACTGGTCTTTAAGGTTTAAAGCAGGGGGCACCGATCTGTCCACAAAGGACCACTGTGGCTGCAGGTTTTCATTCCAGCCAAACAGAAACTGACCTGATAGCACTAATCAATTGTTTGAAGACTGAGACCAACTGGACAAGAGGCATCAGGTGTGCTTCAGCTTGTTTGGAATGAAAACCTGCAGCCACACTGGCCCCTTACAGATAAGATGATCCCCTGTCAATAAGAGACCCTTAGTTTAAAGGATTAGTTTAACATCTGTTTGAGGAATACTCCAGCGTTTTTCAGCTTAATCTCTGTGTGCATTGTGCAGTTCATTCCCATAGGGGCTCCATCAGCTGCGCATTGGGTTCTGTTATATCTGTGTTTTGACACAAGCAGAAGGAAAATATCAAATTTGGTGTCCATGGTAATGGACAGTACGCTGCAGCCGGAGCAGATGGAGGTTAGGTTGAAAAACGCTAGAGAATTTCTTTAACTTAAAAGATGTTTCTAGTTAATTCTACATAAAGTGCTTTTTAAAATTCTTGCTCAGAGCGCTGTGATTTAATGAAGTGATTTATTTCTTTCATAGTTCCGCTTGTGGCTGCTCGGCCTTGGCTTCAGTCTGGCCTACGGCAGCATGTTCACGAAGATCTGGTGGGTCCACACAGTCTTCACCAAGAAGGACGAGAAGAAGGATAAGCGTAAGGTAAAGAGAGAGCTGAGCTGTGTGCTTGCACTGAGTGTGTGTGTGTGTGTGTGTATGTGTGTGTGTGGTGGAGATTACATGGAAGTCCTTCAGAAAGAGCTGCTTGTTCTAGTCTAAAGAGGTTCCCTATTGTTGACTCTATTATAGACCCTTTTCTTTGAAAATCAGCATTAATAATGAAATGACTCTTTCTGATATGGAATTATACTCACTGTCCACTCTTTTACTTCCACTCACTGGCCACTTTATTAACTCCACATACCTCACAGGTCCACTATATCGGTGTACAATTACAGACTGTAGCCCATCTGTTGTTTATCAGCCCCCCTCTATCCCATTCATCACTGGTCAGTTTCTGACCACAGGACCGCTGATGTCTATATATTATTTTGGTGATGGTCCATTCTCAGCACAGCAGTGACACTGCCTACCATGTCAATACCATGTCAGTGTCAGTGACTGCAAGTGAAGCGTCTCTCAGAGTAACTCTGTGGCCAGAAACTGACCACTGATAAAGAGCTAGAGCAGTTGTTTTTAACTTTTGGGGCACAGCCCCCAGTGGGCCATGGTGGTACTGCAAGTAGGCTGTTGGCAGTCATTTATTTCAATATACATTAAGACATTTAACCAAACATGACTTATAATACATCAGTGTTTACTGTCACAAAAATAATACATATTTAGGTCGAGCTGCTTGATTGATCTGGCATGACTGATGGACAGGAAAGTTTGAGCACCCCTGACCAAATGATGTGTTGTTTTTTCAACTTTGCTAAACTTACATAAATAACTTAAACATTGCTCTGTCAAATTTTTGTGCAGAATTTATATTTCAACATTTAGGGCAATAAATACAGTATAAGATGTAAAATGTGCCAAAACGTTTGCTCAGGCCACATTTCATGTGTTTGTTTTTGAATGTTTTCATATGTTAAATTCAGTAGTAATGAAAAACAGTTATTGTACATTAAAATGTACCTATTATCACTGGATAAATCAACAAAACATGTCATTTGACTAGGGGTGCACAAACCTTTGTAAACAACTTTAACTAAAAATAACAAACTAGATATGATTATACTTTCAGAGTAATTCAGTGTAAAACGTTTCTCATTCTGATTGTGTGACATTTAACCATCATAGTTAAATGGCTGCAAATGGATTTTTTTTGTGTGTTTATCATGTTGCATGATTGTACAGTAAAAGTGAAAGTGCTACATTGATTATGATTTTGCATTTATATTTACATTTTATACATTTATGTACTGAAAACAGTCCGAATTTAATTTGATCATTTTTACAGGACAATTTTTGTTACTGTAAAATGATCTGTGTTCTGATCGGCTGAACTGTATTGTATCTCATTCAGAAAGCAGCCCAGACTGAAACACTCCTTATAACTTCAGCAGGAGTGGGCGGGGCTGAACTGCCATATGTAAATGCGCTGGTTTTTCTGACATCGCTGAAACAGTAAAATCAAAACAAGTTGTTTTTGTCCATATCACTGCTGTCGGAACAAAACCTTGTATCTCCCTTTTTAACGCTTTTCAGTTTTTGACATAATTTGAAAATACTTATTGCCCCTAACATTATATCTAAATTTCATGATGAATGGACCAAAACAAACGGCCTATGACTGGTAAAAAAATTCTGGTTCCATTGACTTACATTAAAAGTAAAGTATGTTTTTTTCTTCTCCTGTAAAGTTACCATTTTGGAGATACGAGGTTTCATTCCGACAACAGCGATATATAGACTGGGGAGTTAACAGTATGTTTTGAATCTTTACCAATGTTTACATACTACATTACATTATTTTATTTAAAAATGGTGAGGAAAATTACATTTTCGATGATATGGGGCCTTTAAAGCTTTTATGGTCATTTGTGTGGGCTGGGAGTTAGAAGCTAAAGGATGGGTAATGCAAACTGTACATCAGCAGATGAACTACGGTCTCTAACTGTACAGCAAGGTGGCGCTACAAGAGAGGGGTTTCTAATAAAGTGGCCAGTGAGTGTATATGATTATATATCTATGCCTATCACACTCTCTCTCTCTCTCTCTCTCTCTCTCTCTCTCTCTCTCTCTCTCTCTCTCTATTGCATTGACCTCATCTTTCTCACTGAACTCAGTAAAATGGGTTTCCACCCCCCCTCCCTTTTTTTCTCTCTCTCACCATCTCTCTCTATATCTCTCTCTTTCTCTGTGGCTTTTTGCCCTCATCTTTCTCTCTGACCTTAAAGAAATGGGTCTCTAGTCGCCCTTGAACAGTTCTAAATGGCCCATTTATCGCCCAGCTCAAGCTCAATGACCCCTTCAGACTGCTTGGGCAGAGAAGATTCTCTCCATCATCGGGCCAACCCACGCTGACGCACACGTATGCGGTTAACACAGTCAGCGAATACGTGTCCACCCTCCTTACATGGCAGAATGAGGGGACATTAACGAAAAAAACAGCAGGAAAGAGACAGAGAGAGATAAAGAACATTAGGAAAGGAGAAAGGCGTTTTTCAGGGATAAGGAGATGATTCTGATGATACTGAATATTTATGAACATCCACCTTCTGGGCGGGTGGTCCCGTTTCTCTTTTTTGCTCTTTTCCCTTTTTTTTGAGGATTAGCGTACGGAGAGCTGTGTCAGAACTGATCGACTTCACTTCTGAGTCCCTCAGTGCCGCACATAAGCCGCCAGGCGCCGCAACACTTAAAAATGGAGACAATCCACGCGGCGCAGAAGTGACAGCATTGTCATTTGCGATTGTGTTTTAATCCTCATTCTCTGACGCGGAGCTGTAATTCAAACACACAACTGCATCTGCTTTGTTCAGGGATTCTTAGGAGCAACATCAGGGACGTGAAAAAAAACAGAAACAAGTGTGGGAGACTAAGGAGTGTTTGGGACAATTGTGTTTTATTTTTGGTGGTGATGTGTGTCTTTTCTCGTGTGCAGCACTGTAGAATTGTCACGAAGCAGCAGACACACTGCACTCTGCGTTCGGATTGCATAACCGCTTTTATTTCACCACCGATCGCAGAGGAACGCCGAAGGTCTTTGATTGTCTTTTGTCCTGCTCCTGTAAGAAGCTGCTCAAAGCGGAAAGAAACAACCAGCACAAAAACAGTAGTGATAACACTTCTTCAGTGCCTGTCACAGCGTTGGTTTTTTGTTCATCACAAACACAGCTACCCGCGACATGAAAAGCAGAGGGACGACATCAGCCGTGTAGAAGAGTAATGCCTTCGATTGAAATCCGACACACACTTGTATAAAATCTGGGTCGTGCACTCGGCACCAGATTGAATTGGCTTTCACAGTAATGGCCTGTTGTTTTCTTCTCGCGTCCTCCGTACTCTCTGTGTCATAAATCCTTCCTCCTGCTGTCCGCATCAGTCGTTTCCACCTACACTGGCCATCAAATGTGTGGGAAGACATCGCCCTTCTTTCAAAATTTAGATAGATTTAAGTGGATACGCTGCAAAAAAATTATAGCACGTGAAAACATCTTAGATGTAGTTAAAATAGCCAACATTTTCAATATAAGATTATTGTAAGAACATTATTTAACTCCCACTATATAGATATAAGTGTTGGGACACTCCTCCTAATTAGCGAGTTCAGGTGTTTCAGCCACACCCATTGGTAACAGGTGGATAAAGTTAAGCACATAGCCTTGCAGTTTGGATAGACAGACACTGGCAATAGAGGGTCGCACTGATGAGCTCGGTGACTTTAAACATGGCACTGTTATAGGATGCCACCTCTGCTACAAGTCCATTTGTGCAGTTTCTGTCCTGCAAGATCTGCCCCTGTCAACTGTAAGTGCTGTTACTGTGAAATGGAAGCAACTAAGAGTGACAACAGCTCAGCAACGAAGCGGTAGACCACAGAAACTCACAGAGCGGAGCCGCCGAGTGCTGAAGTGCACAGTGCCGATCCTCTGTTGAATCACTCACTAGTTCCAAATTGAGTTCCAAATTGCTAGAGGCAGCATCAGCAAAAAAACTGCATGTTAGGAGCTTCACGAAATGGGTGTCCTTCGCCGAGCAACTACACACAAGCCTAAGATCTAAATGCACAATGCTAAACGGGGGGTGGGGGGTGGGGAAGTGGTGTAAAGCATGCCGCCACTGGGCTCTGGAGCAATGGAAACGTGTTCTGTGGAGTGACGAATCACGCTTCTCTATCTGTCAGTCTGATAGACGAGTCTCGGTTCTCAAATATTCTCTTAAAAACTTTTTTTTCTTAATATTTTTTATAGGAAAATCTTCATTGTTCTGTCATCCAGGCTATGTTGCATTTTGCAGCTTACCATAAATGACGCAGGTACATTTTATTATTATTAACTGTTATTTCAGTTATTTAGTTTAATCCGCTCAGTGGAGCAAAATAGAGAAAACAATTCAAACCAAGTGTTTAAAAAATTGAAGCAAACAAAAGCTAGAGGTGATCTGAGGAAAAAACAGCCAACAGGAAAAGATCCTCCTTGAAAAAAAAAATACTTGTGAGGTGACGGCGGAAAGAAAGAGGTGAGGACAGGTGAGAGTAGCAGAGGCAGCGCCGAGTTTGATACATTTAAATGCTTCAACTCTTACAGCCTAAGTTGAGTGTTAGGCTATCATAAAGTTAAGAAAATATTTAAGAATATAATGTTTGCAAGAATATTACTTGTTCTTAGGATTATTCTTAACCCTTGTGTGGTGTTGATGTGTTTTTTACTCAGTGGTCTGGTGGACCCACCACATTATTGTTTTTCAGATCAGTGCAGCCATAATAATTTATGTAAAAACACCAGATGTTTAAAATATTGCAAGTGGCCAGCATAGGGTTCTACTTTAGCAGCTGTAGCCAGTCAGCAGCCTGTCCACATTGTCCACCCTCACACACAGACACACATACACACACACACACATACACACACACACACTAACAGCAGGCCATGTAGGAGGAGAACAGAGTGAAGGATGCAGCACCTCCACACTTTTATTCCCCGCTGGTTCAGCCCAATACCACATGTGTAATATAAATGTGTGGGGGGTGAACAGTGTGAAGACACTGAAAATGGGTTATTTTATATGTTCTTCACAGAAAATGAGCAAAGGACAAGAATCTGAGGTTGAAATAATAATAAGTCACATCATTTTCTCTTTTGGTGAACATTGAAAACGGGTCCCACAGACCCGAACACCACACAAGGGTTAAGAAAATAGTTAAGACAAAAACAAATACAGTAATTCTTAAGTTATTTGAAGAATAACATTTTTTGTAACCTTTTTCTTAAGAATGAAGTTCAAAAAACACACATTTAAGAAGACTTTCTTAATTAAGACACTTTCATGAATCCGGCCCCTGAATGGTTTGAGTGCTGAATGAGGGCTTTTATTGTGTTTAGTGATTTGCAGCAGCTTTTCTTTTTTATTTACTATGTTGACGTAAACTGATAACGAAAAACACGCACATTTATATTAAACCCCTGTGAGAAGCACAGTGTCCCCTAACTTTAGCCGGTACTGTCTGAGTAAAGCAGTTTTTTTTTGTTGTTGTTTCCTCTTTGTCTCAGCAGCACCTGGAGCCCTGGAAGCTGTATGCCACGGTGGGGGTGCTGCTGGTTATAGACGTGCTGTCCCTCATGATCTGGCAGATTGTGGATCCGCTGCACATCACCGAGGAGGTACGGCTCAATCTCTCACTGTGTAGCGCCCTGTGCGTGTATTTGATTGTGTGCCTGAAATGAAATTGGGTTGTTTCTGGGTTTATATTTGTCGTTTTTGGCCTCAGGGCTGCTCTGTTGCAATCTCTCTCTCTCTCCTTCTCTCTCTTGCTATCTCTCTCTCTCACTCAATAAATCCCGCTCTCTCACTCACCTCTATTGCTTTTCCCTAACCTGCACTCTCTGTTTATCTGAGCAGAAGTTCACAAGAGAGGTGCCTAAAGGAGACCTAGATGTGCTGATTGAGCCGCTGCTGGAGCACTGCAGCTCGGAGAAGATGAACACTTGGCTGGGTAAGGCTGAATAATCCTCAGCTGGTTTGTGCTAGTATGCTAGCATACCTAGAGCGGGGACACGCTTGATTTAATGTTTTTTTGTCATTTTAACCTCTCAAACCCTAACAGTACATGTTCACTGCACTTGGTGTGAATCTCTCTCCTCACTTCAGCAATGCCTCGCTGTTTAACGGGCGTGTCTGTCTATAATAGTCTGTAATCAAACCTTTCATTCTTCATAAAATCCAATTACTTATTTTCTAATTTGACAACTCTCCTAAAACTGGTTTTAAAACAGGCCTCTTGAATGATATATTTCTGCAAACTATGATAGACTAATGTGTAGTTAAAGCTGCACTATGTAAGATTTGGGGATTTGGAGACCCCTCTGGTAGAAATGTGTAAATGCATACAACGTGCAGAAGAACATTTTGTAACGTCAGTTATGTTGATGATGATCATTGCGCACATGTTGAAAGAGAATTCAAAGAGAACTCTGTCAAAACTTGGTGAAGGACGTGTCTTCCAAGTCTTCCAAGGATGTGAGTGAATTATCTACCATTGTCATCATATCTTCATCAGTATGGTGGTCGTGTTGCATTTGAGACCCAAAGATGGAGCTGGACCTTCTTTTGAAGTCTGTGCGTGTGACATTAAACATAAAGACATGTGACGTGGTCTTAAAAACTCCCTCGAAATCTGACTCGTCACTATTGACTTTTATTATTAAATAACAGAACACACACACACACACTCACATGCACACACACCGTATTTTAGCCAGTTTTTTTTCAACGGACTCAGTAATGCTTTCAATTTGAACAAAAAAATCTTACATAGTGCAGCTTTAAAATTAGAGATGGCACGATGCTACTTTTTTTCCAGTACTGATACTGAAACCTTGAGGTTTAGCCAATGTCAATACTGATCTGGGATAATTAAACTTTAAAAATTTTAATTGAAGCACTTCACTTAGGATAAACATCTGAAAGTAGTCTATCAAGCTCAAACTGCTCAGTCACTCTCCACCCCACAGGACGAGCTACACAGCTAACAGCAGCCCATCACACAGTGTGAGTGAGCGCTATTTCGGGACAGATTTCTTACAGGATTAAATCACACTTTTTTCCCTCAGACATACAATGCAGTATTTTCTGCTGATGCAGATGTAAGCCTAGCATTCAGTTCATCATCTTACAGGAATAGTTTGGCAAAAAAATCACATTTCCTCAGTTTTCCACTTACCTCAGATATAATCTATCAGGCTAGACATGTCTTATGTCTGAATTGTGTTTCCTACATTTACTGCTGGATCTGCAGTGCTAAAATTGCTATGTCAATAGCCAAAGATTTTTCTGTAAATACATCCCCAAAACTTCTCAGACCACTTAAACAATCCTGTCAGTGCTGTGTAGCTGCTGCATGTAATTTGTTTAAAGTGGAAACCTGCTCAACTTTTTTTTACCCTGCTGCTGGTCAAGTTCTCTCCACTCACTGTCCCACAGCCCCAGTCCTCTTGTTCTCTTTTCATTTTGTCCATTTTTGTCCATAATGTATTTGAGTGGACACAAACACTATAATCAAAGCAAATCACGTTTATTGTCGCATCACATTCACTCAGGTATAAAGGTGAGTGAAAATCTTAGGTGCGTAGCCCCCTTGTAGTACTCAAATATATAAACATATATAGGACGAGAAAAAAAAATATATATAGAAATATAAAATATATATATATACATTAGACTCTAAATATATACACATACACAATATACACATTACTATACACACAGTATAGCACCATTTCAATGTAGCGTTTACAGTTTTGTACAGTAATATGTTATGAAATACAAGCTATATATAGATTTGCTAGAAGTTACAGTAAGATCAGAGTGAGTCTGTTAAAAAAATCTTACATAGTGCAGCTTTAAAATTAGAGATGGCACGATACTACTTGTGGAGGTGTGGATTGTCCATGGAGATCATGATGATGATGATGATGATGATGATTCAGAGGTCTGTATGTGGACCCCCACTTCAGTTTTGCACTTTTATAGCTGGATAACTTGCAGAGTAGTTTCACAATCGTTAAAAGATAATACATTACAGTTACTGAGATTAAAAGCCGAATAAAAAGCTCTGAGCTTAAGAGCTTTTGATCTAAAGGAGTGTCAAACTGGGTTCCCAGGTGGCTGCTTGACAGAGAGCCGAGAGTGTGCAAAGCTGCAAAGGAGGGGGGGCTTTGAAGAAGCAGAAACAGAAGACGGCTTTGATTTGTTTAACAGTTTATTTATTTATTTTTACATTTCCTGGTCACCTCATAATTCAGTTTGTGTAACTTCATAGTAAGAGATAGTAATAATATGCAAGGACCCATCTATGAGTCGGTATGTCCATACTTTTGACCGGTACTGATGCGCTTGTTTTGGTTTGCCTGTGTGTATGGAGGTGGGGAATTTTAATCCTGCTATCCCCGACGGCGTCTCTGCCTCTTTTTGTGACCTTCTGCTCTGCTCCCCAGGTTTTTACTTCACATAAGTATTTACCTAATTAAACAAATTAATTACAACTTTAATGAAACAAATTAAACCAGCCCTGGTTCCCCAGTTAGGAAGAGTCATTAAAATACGCCCGCAAAGCTTCCTCGTGGCAGCGTCCTTGAGAAGAGCAGTTCACCGGCCTGTATTACCCCGAGGATCACAGTGTGCCTTTGATTTCGTCCTGTATCCAACGATGTGCGGCTGCATTCGTGAGTGCACTTTAAACAGTGGCACCAGTCCGCAGGCTTTTGATATCATGTCAGGATTTGACCTCCAGGTCGAGTATTTGCAAATGTTTTGTAAGTGTTTTTTTCCCGGCGAGTCCTCTGCGCCAAGTAGACCTAGATTTTGATTTATGTTTTAGTCATTTTCCAGACAGCCAGACAGACTGGGAATGAATAAAATGCTGCAATTACTGTGGCCCTACAAAACAAGCAAAACACTCTGGGCTTGTTTTGTGTATGTGATCTTGTTGTGTCCTCTCTGTCCTAGGGGTGGTCTATGGCTACAAGGGCTTGCTGCTGCTTCTTGGTATCTTCTTGGCTTACGAGACCAAGTCTGTGTCCACAGAGAAGATAAATGACCATCGAGCCGTGGGAATGGCCATTTACAACGTTTCTGTGAGTCCACTGTCTGTCTATCTGTCCCTTTATATGCTGGTCTGGCTGCATAGCAGGGCTGCACAGTGTATCAGTTGTTAACTGTGATATTGGTCTGTGCCATATTCATATTGCAGAAGTGTGCTATTAGTAAATGAGCTTTCTTTTTGTTTTTTTATGTAGGCTACGTTGCATTTTAGCCCGTACCATAAACAACACGAGAAACAGTTTGACATTGGATTTATAGTTATGTCCGTTATTTAGGTTAATCTGCTCAGAGGACAGCAAAATGGACGAAAAACATCAAACCAAGCGTTTATAAACATTTAGCAAACAAGAACTAGAGGTGATGGTGGAATAAATAGCCAACAGGAAAAAAATCCTGCTTGGAAAATACGATAATTGTGGGGTGACAGACGAGGGTGGGCAGAAGCTGCAGAGGCAGCGCTTGTGATGAATTTAGATGGTTATCTTGTCAACTCTTACAGCCTAAGACAAGAGTGAGACCGTCAAAAGGTTAAGAAAACATTTGAGAACGTAATATTTTCAAGAATGCCTTGAACAATACTTGTTCTTACAATTATTCTTAAGAAAGGAGTTAGAGAATTTGTGAATCTAAGCCCTGGTTTTGCATCAAACTATGAACACTCAGAGAACCCTTTGCATGATTTAAGGGTTCTTTGCATCCTTAAGTGGTTCTTCGGACTGGTGGAGAGTGTGTTTTCTATACAGATCCTTGTTGAAAAGGGTTCTTTATAGCACCCAAAAGCTTTCTTCTGTTGTTACAATTTCAAGCCTGTAACAGTAGCAGAACCCTTTTTGGTGCTATACAGAACACTTTTCAAAAAGTTTCGGTAACGCTTTCTATGAATGTCACGTTTGTAAGCATCTATAAACACATTTGTAACATGTTATAATGCCTTCATACGGCATTATAAACATAATTATAAACATTTATAAAAATGAATTACACTGGATTACACTTTATAGCCATGTTTATTATACATTATGAATTGTTAATATAATGCATTATAAATAGTGTTAATAACATGTTATACTGTCAGTGCCAAAGAAGTCAGTCCCAGCTTGGAGAGCGTAAAGACAAATACCAAGCTAACGGTGGTGTACATTGACTTTCCCACATTGGGTAAAACACTGATGGCAGCTCTAGTTTAAACTCTGTCATTTGAAGCCTGTAATGTGCTTTATTATGTATGTTTTAGTGTTTCAGTAAATCCTTCAATAAATACTTCAACTTGAAGCCTCACTCTGAACACTGGAGGAGGCTTTAGTACAGTACGCTTCACTTTACTTAGAGCGGACAAATACGACTTATGAGCTCTTATAATGTGTTATGATCAGTACTTATAATGTATTATGTTAACTATTCATAATGCATAATAAGCATGGCTATAACATGTAATGCATTTTTATAAATATTTATAGCCATGTTTATAATGCCTTATGAATGCATTATAACATGTTATGAATGTGTTTATAGATGCTTACAAAGGTGACATTCATAGAAAGTGTTACCACAGTTTCTATATAGAAAACAAACTCTCCATCAGTCTGAAGAACGCTTTTACGATGCAAAGAACCCTTTAATCATGCAAAGGGTTCTTTGAGTGTTCAGGGTTCTATATGGAAGCATTTTCTTTACTGAAAAAACCCTGAAGAGCTACTTTTCTAAGTGCGTAGGCCCTTTAATACAGGTCTGAAGGAGTTAAATACCCAGCAGTGAGGGACGTTCTTTAGTTCTCTGATTGAACAGTGAAGCAATTCCAGCTCGGCTGCTATCTCCTCCAACACAGAGTGTAATCTGGCCTCGTCTGGACCCCTGTGTGTCACGCCGCAGTCGCGAGCAGGCAGAAGACGCCGGAAGCTCTTTCAGTGGCGGATGGTTTGGCAGCGGCTGAGTGTCTGATTCTGCCATTTCTGTCCTGCCTGAAGAGCAGAGAACCTCTCCCCTCATCATCCAAAATAAAGTCACATGTCAGAGCTCCCCTTAACCCCCCAGCTCTCTTCTCTCAAACTCCACGCTCATTCCTTTCCATTCCTGCTGGAGCTCTGCAGGACTTTGACACATCTCACACGAAGATGCCAGTGCAGATTTATCTCCAGTAATCCTCAAAGAAGATACTTCTCCTCTGCTTTTCCCCTTGTGTTAGGTCTGACTGTGCTTTCTCCCGCCTGTGAGATGTTCTGGCTGACCTGCGAAACGAACGAGATGTCCACTTAGCCTGAGAGGAGCAGTCCAATAAATTCTTGCCTCGCTTGGTCAGAATATTTAGATTTTAATACTTCTGTTCAATCAGATTTTCTCTTCTCCTCAAATGTAGACAGTCAACCAAGACATGCTGATAGTCCTGAGTTTGCTTCTTTAGTTGTGCTGCGAGTTACGAGGCGAATGAAGCCTACAAATAATTGTAGCCACAGACAGTGAAGGGTAAAGGCACGTAAACGATCATTTACACAGCTTTTAAATTTGGAATGTGGTTTACTTTTCTTTTTACGGAGCCCTGCTGGTGACATTCCATATAAATAAAAATAATGCGTGGCCACAAATCATTAAGTCATGGGGACAAGATCCTAATGCATGGCCACGACTTAATAAGGCGTGGGAATGAAAAAATTATGCCTATACCACAGCTTAACCTCTTCAACTCTTTGAGACCACCAGTGGTTCCAAATCGCACTTCGTCATATTCCTCATAACTTTCATATTTCATAAGCTACATTCAGAAGGTGGGGGTCGCATGAGAGCTGTAACTGTCTTCTTTCCAGTCAAATAGATGGGTGATGTAATTTTAAACCCTTATAATAAAAGAAGCTGAACTCAGTTTTTTTCCTACTGAAAGTCGACCCATTTTTCCACAAATCTGGACTATAAACTATAAACAGATGGCGTCTCTTCAGTGATCTACTCTGTAAAATTATTTTTATAAAATAATACAAAGAGTGTCTAAGATTTTTGGCTTTCAGTAGTAAATTGTAAGCATATAGCGATATGTATGATCATAAAACACGTTCTGTTAATTTGAGGGGTGCTTTTACAAAAAATACATAAATAAATAAATAAATAAAATAAAAGTTTACATTTATTTCATGCAGTTACTGAATAATTTGCTTTATGATTTGGTCATGTGAATTCAGATGGAAAAAACAAGATATACCCTTGTCATAAGGCATGATCTCGTTCCCACGCCTTACTAAGTCGTGGCCACACATTAGGATCTCGTTTTCACACGTTAATACATCGTGGCCATGCATTCTTTTTATTTATACGGGATGTCACCAGCAGGACTCTGTACCTTTTTAATTATTTACCCACGTTTAAAAGTGCACGTCTCTCGTTGTCACTGAACACAGCTGCAGTTCTGTACTGTTTAAACATTCTCCTGGTTCACCCTCTGCCTCCCCTTCACGAAATGGAAGACATTCTCCCCCAAAAGAAACAGTTTCAAACCTGCTAATGAGTGTGGCCTTTTATACTGGCCACTCAGTTTTCCCTTGTCGTGAGCATAATGGCACTAGAAGCACAAAATACTACCACGATGGTTTTGCAAAAATACAGCGTCTCAGAAACATCTCACTTTTAAAAGCCTTGCAATTTGAATCGAAATGTGTCCAGAGTCTATATGAGGAAGCAGAATGTGTCGTTTGAGTCTAGTGAAATAGAATCACTTTCTTTTAATCCCTAAAAAGAACTGGTGGGCCATACCAGAACTCTACCCAGGATTGACAGCCTCGTAACCTGTCAGCTACCAGCTTCATTGAGGGGCACCACAATGGCCAATCAAAATTCTTTGGGGGGCAGCGCCACCCCAGACAGGCCAGTGCACTAGGCATAAAGCTATAGATATAATGGAAAGTCACATGAAAGCAGTTCTGCTGTCTGTCAGTAGTTTTAAGTCTTAGAAGCTGGTTGGATTTTCTGCTTCTCACCATCCAAATAATCCCAAACACATTCAGTGATGTTGAGGTCTGGACTCTGGGGTGGTCAGTCCACTGTTCAGCCTCGTTGTTTGATATGTCCGTCTCCTTTTCTCAGTGAGGTTCTTCTTGATCAGCTACACATCCTTTCAGACCCATAGAGCTGAGTCGTCTTCTCACAGTGGAAGGATGGACAGAAACACCTGTGGATGTTTTCAGATCTGAAGCAGCTTGATTTTCTCCTCTCTCTCAGAGATGAAAGGTTTAAGTGCTGTTTACCTGATGGGGTCAGTTTTGGTGTCTATCAGGTCTTCCAGGTGGCTGTTAGGAGTCAAAGATTCTCTGTAATGTTGAACTTATGAATGAATAACTTGTGTTCATTGGCTATTTCGGCTATTTTGACTGGAAATTATTTTGACTGGAGTTAAATGAAGGGCGGCCACTGACTTTTGCAACTGTAGTTGTCCGTTGTTCCATCTGTTTGTTAGGGGTTAGCCACTACTGATACCCCAGCAGTTAGCAATTTTGCAAACTGTATGTCTAAATCAGCACCTACTTACCTCATACTGCACTGAGCTGTTAAGAAATCTCAAACAGACTAGATGATATGGTTTATGCACATGATTACACCTGTACAATCTGTAGAACTGGACAAAAGTGTGGACAAAATTCAGGCTTAATTATGGCGGCTACTGTTTTTAGCTGTGTGATGTACTTTTGTCCATTATTACAGATAACAGTACGTTATACACTGTCAGAAACCACATCAACACGTCTATTTTAAATCATCTAAGAACTCGATGGGGACTGATGCCAGTCTGTTGTTAAGCATGCGGCATGCTAATAGGCGAACAAGCTTCCTCAACTTCATTCCTTGCTTCTGAAGAGCATGACCTACAGCTACAATCAGACCCCTGACTTCCTTAGTCTCTCTCAACTAGTCAACATCAGTTTTATGAGTGGGCTGATATGCACAGGTTTTATCAATAATTTCACAACAGCCTTTCAGTTAAGAAGTGCCTTCAGCCTGAATATCCTGCTCTCGTCTCATTCGCATTGTCATATTCTGCCTCGTCTCGGGGGGATTATCCATTATGCATTGAACCCAGTTTGAGCTTAAGTTGAGTGGGACTGGTGGGGGATGAGGGGGGGTGGTGGTACTGCATATCAGCATTGGAGGAAATTTGCATTTTCTTTCTTTTTCTTTGCTTTGAGATTGATTTTTCCTTCTCCCCTGTTGTGCTCATCCTCAGCTTTTCCTGTTAAATAAATGAATCTGATATTTCTATCACAATCTGCCATGTATTACCAGCTGTATTTTTCGGACCACCATTTGTTTATTACATTTACAGTTGAAATGGCCACATTTTACAAGTTATTCATTTTTCAGTGTCACAGAAAAAGCAGAAAACAGATGTTTAACAGATAATTACTCAGACGCCTCAAGTTCAGTGTTAGAAGTTGGTTGAATTTTCTGCATTTGCTTTGGAAACTTCTGCCTTTTCACATATTTTCTTTTGACTTTCCCCTTGCGCAAGTGAATTACCTTATATCTAATCTTCTCAGACATATTTCCTAAAAACATTGGCAGAAAAATCTCCTGAAAAATGTATAGTTTTGACTGGAAATGATAGAAATGAAGGACTTTTGCACAGAACACTCTTTAAAAAACGGTTCTTCAAGAGTTCTTTAGTGAAGGCAATGTTCTATATAGAACCATGAGCACTCAAAGAACCATATGAATTCATAAATGGTTGTTTTTGTGGACAAATCGTTCTTATTTATGGTGAAAAAAACAATATTATGTGTTTTTTTAAAAGAATCCTTTTAAAATCAGCTCTGTCTAGCACCAAAGTAGGGTCCACTATTGTTGTGAGTCAACAGACTTTTTTTAGTGCTACACTCCTAGAAAATATGGTTCTTCAAGGGTTCTTTAGTAAGGAAAAGGGTTCTTTGTAGAACCATGAACACTCAAAGAACCCCTTGCTTGCTTAAACGGTTCTTCGTGTGGTGAAATCGTTCTTCAGATTGATGGAGAATGTGTTGTAGATGGTTCTGTATAGACCCCTTTTCAAAAAGGTTCTATATAAAACCCTTTTCAAAAATGTTCTATATAGCACCATCAACAGCACACTCTCCATCAATCTGAAGAACGATTTCACCACAGAAAGAACCATTTAAGCACGCCAAGAGCTCTTTGAGTGTTCATGGTTTTATATAGAGCAATTTTCTTTACTAAAGAACCCTTGAAGAACCATCTAAGTGTGATATAGACCCGTTTTGCTAAGAGGGTACTGGATATTACATCAAAAACAGTCTTGTCTTTCAGTGCTCTTACCCTGAGCCATAACTGCGTTGATGAAATATGTTTTATTCATGTATGAATGAAGTACACGTTTTAACTCATGTAAACTCAATGCTGCAGTTTTTGTAGTGTGGTGTTTTCCTTTTTTTGGAGCTGCAGCTACAAGAAAAATGATAAAAAATTGTGCCTACCTGTTCTGCCTGGAACCAGGCCACAGGGACAGATAAGATTAATTAAAGATTAATTAAAGTTTGGGGTCAATTAAGTTGTGGAGGTCCTTATCCGGCGAAGTTTCTGAAATGAGGTGAGGTGAAGCAGTTGTCGGCTCTGGCGGGGCGCCGTTATAAACCCCGCTCAGCTTTTCTAGGCTGCTTGCGGGTGCCAGAAGCGCTCATGCGGGCGCAGTTATGAGATTTAGATCCAGATTTAGTTATCTCTTTATGGCTCGGAGCTCTGGGGCCTGATACAGATTTGGCCGGGCGCATTCTGGCGGCTGGGCTGCCGATAGCCTCTGCAGTAAAGCGTGTTGATTTAGCGATGCTGTCCCGCACCTTGTGTCCTGTCCAAATAACTAATGATCCAGTCTCGAAAATATCACCTCCTGTTGATGTCGGGCTGTTTTTTTCCTGCGTCTTGCCAGCCTGGATGAGATTTTGCTGGTTTCGAGAAAGATGACTGGATGTCGGTCGATATTTATTGATTCATGCCTCTCTCTTCCTCTTTTCTTCTCTTCCCCTTTTCTCCTCCATATGTATCTCCCTCTCATTCTCTCTCTCTTTTTCAGGTGCTGTGCATGATCACTGCCCCTGTCACTATGATCCTGTCCTCAAAGCAGGACGCTTCCTTCGCCTTCGCCTCTCTGGCCATCGTCTTCTCTGTCTACATCACTCTGGTCGTGCTGTTCGTCCCCAAGGTAAAAAATGCAGGGTCATTCACTCAAATGAGGATCTCCTGTGCAGAGTCTGTCTGTTAACTCTGGTTATCTAGAGCAGGCATGTCAAACTGGGAAACTTCTAGGCCAAAGTGCTGCAGAGATTAGGGTTTACCCTCATATAACGCTCTGAATTCGGTTCATGAAGGCCTTTCTCATTAGCTGAATTAGGTGTGTTTAATGAGGCAGTGTGCTGAAGTCTGCAGTGGTTTGGCCCACGAGGACTGGAGCCTGACACTGTGATCCAGAGGGCTGAACATAACATAGCTGTCTGGAGAAAATTACTTAAAAATACCACATGCCTTTTAGATTGGGTGAACATTTCATGTTGAATAGACCAATAGAAATGGTCCAGCATTACTTTTTCTTAAATTACATTAACAGATATTATGAACATCTTTCTTTTGCCTATAGATGGCATGTCAGTATTGATGGGTGGACTAGCTGGACTGGATATCGGAGCGAAAAAAGAATACATTTGAATCAATCCTGTAACAAATCTATCTATGTGATGTCGTTAGCTCTGTAGCTCTTCTTGTGGTAGTTGAGAGACTGAGATGTTTCAGCCTAAGAGACAATTTTTAGATGCTCATCTTAAGTGAAGTGCTTTAATTCTAAATGGCTCATTTCAGTAGGTTTTTAAGACGAAATACTGGATTATTGTCCGAAGTTTGAAGCTACACTATGTAAGTAGGGGATTTGGAGACCCCTCCTGTGGAAATATGTAATCACATGCAATATACGGAAGAACAGTTTGTAATGTCAGTTGTGCTTCGGACCCCTTTCACATTGGGGATGAATCTAAAGATGATTTAAGTGCTTTAATTATGTGTTAAAAGAGAATTCAAACAGAACTCTTGGAGGATGAGAATGAATGATATACTATTGTCATTATATCTTCATCAGTACAGTGTTGATTTTGCATTTGAGACCTAAACAACGAGCCGGACCTTCTTTTTTAGGCTGTGTGTGTAACATCAATATATAAAGATGTATGAAGCAGTCAGAAAAACCAGACGCCTCTGACTTTTAAATGATTATTTTAGGCTTTACAGGGTGATTCGCAGCAGCGCTCACGTAATATTTGAGAATGTTTTTTTCTCCTCTCTTCTTTCCATTTTAACAAAATATCTTACATAGTGCACTATTCAAAAAAATCACTCCCACAATTGAAATCAGCTTTTTGTAATATGAATAATTGTAGTGGAAAATGCTGGTTAATGATAGTGAATGTTTTGCCTGTCAAAGTTGCCTAAAAATTGAAGCTTAAAACAGAAGTTAGGACACCACTCTCTCTCCTAAAGTTAGGAGAGTATTTAGGAAATGTGTCTAGTTAGGATGTTTCTGTAATCCTCTTTGTTTATCTGGAGTTAAGATGAGATCATGAAATTAGGCTCTGTTATTTAAGCAATAGAACACGAGAGGGAAATAACATCAATGGCTGTGATTTGGTTGCAGGCGAGTGCCGTAGATCATCAGTTAATAAATAAAGTAAGAAATGAATAAACTGGGTCGTGAACGCGGCATGTAATATGTTTAAATGTTCGCAGTTCCTTCCACCAAATTATAGTTTCTTAACAAGCAACTTGTTGCCACAGCAGAGTAACGAGCTCCGCTCACTCACTGCACAGCCGGCAGTTCGTTCTCCAGCTCCTTACACTAAATTCCCAAACTCTCATCACCACTGAGCAGCTTTTCAGTCAGCAGCTGTGACAGAAGAACAGCTAAACAACCTGGAACTGTCCAGAAATGAACCCAGTACCATTCGCCAAACATGTAGTCTGATCTTCAGAGTCTGACCAAATCCGACTGAGCCATAAAACTGCTGCAATATCAAGTTCAGCTCAGTTTTGTCATTTTTTGCCAGATCACTATTAATGTTGTTTTGTTCCAGCCAGTCTGTAAAGCATCTTACAGCCCATTTTGTTTGGCGAATGGTATTGGGTTCATTTTTGGCTGATTCCAGGTTGTTTAGCTGTTCTTCTGTCACAGCTGCCGACTAAAAAGCTGCTCAGTGGTGATGACAGTTTGGGAATTTAGTGTCGTCTCATCTTCAGAGTCTGACCAAATCGGCTGTCGGTCAAATGTGATCTTTAAAGTATCTGTTTTCTGTTTGTGGCAAAGTAAGAAGTGAAAACGCTCAAATGGCTTGAGCGCCTCCTACAGCTGTCAAAGCCGTTGCTTAGCAACAGCGTCTCAGCGGAGCGATACAGTTGTGTGAAAAAACATCATGTTGTGGAGAAATAACAGCGCGGTTAGAACGCTTCTCAACCAATCAGCTTGCGTGGCCGGAACTAACTGCTGTATAATGTGTAATAACAGTTCCTTATTGACGTTTTCATGGTGTCTAAACAGATAAGATAAAGTTTCAGAGTTAGGGTGTTTCTGTAATACGGCCCCGATCTGTTTTCATCCCAGCCTTTAAACTATAGTATATTGAAGCAGTGTTGTTATATGGGACTGTTTTAGATAGAATAGGGTTTATTTTACATTGTATTTCTATAATCAAATCTAGAACAAGCATCCACTTCCACCCGCTGGCTACAAGCTCCACCTACCTTGTAGGTCCACTATGTGCACTGCAGGTCAAAAGTTTGTAAGGCAATATTACAATAGTTGTTATTCAGTAATTATTTATACACTGTAGACTGAAATTGAAACTAGGCACCAAAATGTAAACCAGATTTGTTCCTCAGAATTTAGGGAACAACAGAAATTATAACATGGTAAAACATAACATTTATTAAATGATAAAATTGTAACTATTTACATTTATCTATTTACTTCTTGTCACAAAATCACTAAGAAACGTTATTTGATTTTATTTTCCAATATGTTAGATATCAATTTTATTATAAGTTCATTCTAGATGCTGTACAGCTTTCTTAGTTATTATGGAAACATCTACAGCTCCACTCATCATCATACATTTCTTTATTTTTACAGTTTTAAATAACCTACAGATTAATAGCATCATATTCGTACAATTTAATACATGTATCAGCAATAGAATTGGGCTTATATTAGTGAAAACAGTGAATTGTAGTGTAGGTGTACATTTGCAGGCTGTAGCTTGTCTGTTGCTGCACAGTTTATTAACCCTCTCCCATATTTATCATTGGTCAGTTTCTGACTACAGAGCCACTGTTGTCCAGTTATGTATTGGGTGGTAGACCATTCTCAGCACAGCAGTGACACTGATGTGGTAACAATGTGGTAATTAGTGTCACTGCTAGGTTGAGAGTGGACCAACACCCAAAAATATCCAGTCAAGATCAACTCAGTGGTCAGAAATTGACCACTGATGAAAGACTAGAGGATGAATAATACAAACAGTGCATCAGCAGATGAGTTACAGTCTCTATCTGTACACCTGCAAGGCGGAGCGGCTCGGGTGGGGTTTCTAATAAAGTGGTCAATCAGTTTATATCACTGTCTGACTTCACTGTCTGCTGTTTTTATGTGGTGCTGTAGATGCGTAGGCTGATCACTCGTGGGGAGTGGCAGTCTGACCAGCAGGAGACCATGAAGACCGGCTCATCCACTAACAACAATGACGAAGAGAAATCCCGCCAGCTGGAGCGAGAAAACAAAGAGCTACAGAAGATCATCCAGGAGGTGCGGTGTCTCTGCGGACTGCACCACAGTGCTGCACTGCCCCGTTTGGGATACTTAACCTTTAGAAGTCTAGAGTCAGTCGTTTTGCAGAAGCGCTTGAGTCTTTGTGGTAGGAAGTTGTGCTGAAGGTCAGTGTGAACTGCTGCGAAAAGTTAGTCTCTGATTCTTTTCGCTTTAGAAGAGAAAGAAGAGTCGAGTTTTTTTCAGCCTATTTCTGATTAGCTAGACATTTTTTTTTTTAAATCGAAGCTCACATTGTGTGGGTGAAGTGAACACATGAAATAAACAACCAAATTTCCAGTACTTTTTATTTTCCAAAGTTGCGATATAAATAACGTAATTTGATCTTTAACAGGCCAAACTGGCACTTTAAATTCTTAAATAAAAACTCAGTTGCCTATTTAAAGGAATGGCTTGGCAAAATGAACAAATTTACACAATTTCCCACTTTTCCCAAATGCAGTTAATCAGCCAAGACATGTTTGGTGTGCAAGTGTTGGTTCTTTAGTTTTGAACAGGAGCTACGAGGCTAACTTTGCTAACAAACACTAGATCTCAATAGTCACCCAAATCTTTTCTGTAAAAATGCATCCCGAATACTTCTTTCAACCCACTCAAACCACATCCGTTCATTCATTAAGGTCAGGCAGATTTGTTGATGTGGTTTAGAGCACAATATGACCTACAATGAACTATACAAATGAAAAAAACTTCGCTGTGTAGCTGAACACTGCGGGAAGCTATTTCAGATAGACGTGGCGTCGAATTCCACATTCCCTCCACAATCTAACTCCCCTTCATGTCATGCAGGCATATTTTCATCCGTTTATAAATATATATCTTAAGATTAACAGTTATTTAAGAAATAGCAAACATAATCTGTAGGGTCCCTATGCCTGTGTGACATTTGTGCGCGTGGAGGGAAAGCGGAATTTGGCACAGCGTTTTGGTAAGCGGTGAGGTTATGGTGGTTTTCATTTCTAAAGTTCACAGTAAGCCATACTGTGCTTTAAACCACATAAATAAGCCTATATGGCCTTAATGAAGACCTAGGTGTGGTTTGAATGAGTTGAAAGAAGTTATGGGAATGTATTAGCCAAAGAAGATTTGGGTAAATTATTGACTTCTAGTGTTTGTTATCAGTTTTAGTCTTGGAGGATGTCTTGGCTGATCGACTATATCTGAGGTGAGTGGAAAACTGTGGAAATTAGGTTTTTTTGCCCAACCATTCCTTTAAATAACATGAATAGTATAAAGTGTTTCCTCAAAAATGAGAGACAAACTGGCTATGTAAGCACAATGAGTCATGTATAATTATGTGTGCCATGCGCCCGTCCCCCGGGCCCCAATGACGGCCGCGAGAGCCGGTAGGAAGGCGAGGCCCGAACCCCGAGCACCATGATGACGGCGGGAAGAGGATGAGATCCGCAAAGGAGGGCGGTGCACGAGTCCCGAGCCCTGCTTCCTGGGCACCGTCTCCAGTCCTGGGGCAAGGCCTCTTTAATATGCTTAAAATGCGATCTCGGTGGCCGAGCCGTGAAGATGGGGCAGTGACATGGAGGCAGTGCGACAAGCTTCGACAAGCTCTCTTGCCCTTTTGGCTCAGGTGCTCACGCTGACATACGCTCACTGAGCACCTTTAAAAAGAGCAGAGAGGGAACATGAAGGGGGAAAAAGAGACTGAAAACTCTACTGTAGTAGCCATAAAGGATGGCCAGTTTTGGTGTTCGTGTTTTGTGAGTGAAAATAAAGAATATGCTCACTGCAACCCTCAGTCCTGCCTCAAGCGACGTTCCTGCACTCGGGGTAGCACAGGCCATGGTGCCAGAACCCAGGAACAGGAAGTGGACATGTTGAGGGAGACTCCACGGTAGAGGAAGAAGCCATCTGGGCGCTCGTCCACCTGCAAAGGGCCGGCTGGTGGGGCTTGGCGCCATTCCCTACTCCCTCACAGATCTCGCTGTCATCGTGGGGTTTCGACTGCATTTGGGGTTCAGACCCTGCCTTCCTGCCGGCTCTCGCTACAGTCATCAGAGCCTGGGGGATGGGCGCATGGCACAATATGCTAGGATGTTTTGGTACAAGTGTAGCAGCAGCATTCAAATAGAATGTGAGTGAACTGCACCATGTTATTTACCTTATAAAATTGCTGCAGAGATTGGCCAAAATAAAATTATAAATTGGCCGATTGCATGTTTGGACCTTTGGATCTTTGCTGATGAATCAACCCCTACTTTCTGGTTTTAAATTGTCCTGAAGCCTACACTCTAAACAGTTAACATGCCTAAGAGGGTTCTTTGGAGCAATGCCATAAAGGACCACTTTTGGTTCCCTAAAGAACTTTCAATGGATGGCTCTTTAAAAAAAACTGTAAATGAGATATCGCTGTTGTCAGACCAAACCTCATATCTCCAATTAATAACTTTACAGGAGAAGGAAAAAACCTACTTTACTTTTAGTGTAAGTCAATGGAACCCGACTTTTTTCCACATCATTTTGGGCCATTTCTTTTGGTCAGTTCATCATGAAATTTCCGTGCGATGTAAAAGGCAACAGGCTTTTTCAAATTATTTCAAAAACTGAAAAATGGAGATACAAGGTTTTATTCTGACAGCAGCGATATGCGAGTATGAAAAACCTTTTTAAAGTTTAAAGAACCTCCAGATATTGTAAAGGTTTTATATACCAGTTAACCCCTTACATGGCCAGGGCCCCAAGTTTTATTCCACATTTCTATAACCTAAGAATAGCTCAACCAGTTTGCATTGAAGTCCCTGTAGTTACTGAGCAATAAGCCTTAGTATGTAATAAGCCTGGGAAATTAAGGGGTTTAAGGTTTCTCTCAGAACCACCATTCCAAGCCAAGAACCATTTAGAGTGCAGTGGAAATTGGTAGTTAATCCTACGAGTCTGTAGGTCCACACTTTCGTCACCATTAGTTTTATACTAGTTATTGAATTACTTCAGAATAAAAGTCTTTTCTTTTCTCTCTCTCTGTCACAGAAAGAGGAACGTGTCTCTGAGCTGAGGAACCAGCTTTCAGAGCGGCAGGCCCTGCGGTCCCGGAGACGCCCATCGTCCTCCAACCTCAACCACAGCTCCCCCCCGCTCCCCACCGCTCACCCGGACCCCAAGTCACTCCTGCCCCCGCCGGGGTATCCTCTCCCCGCCTCCGATAACCACTCGCTGCCTCCGTCCTTCTCCAACTCCTCCAACCTCTATCAGCCCGACGGCAAGATCGGCCGCAACAACTGCCACACCAGCCGCCTGCAGCTGCTCTACAAGTGAGCGCCCCCAGAGGACAACAGAGGAACTGACATGGTGTGAAGAACAAAAAATAGCAATGGGAAGTGAAGGGGACAAACGATAACCCTCATTCATCCACAGTCTGCCTGTTTCTTTCTCTCTCGCCCAGCAGAACTTAGCATTTTTTACTCGCTTGATCTTGTCTCCTTTCCTTGGAACCACGGGACACATCAGCTGGAGCTCATCCTGTCATGTGACATTGAGTGACAGTGCTAACTACAAATTGACATTATTCATTCCCACAGTAGTCGTGGTGATGAATAATCCTCATGGAAATTTTTGGTTTCTCTGAGAAAAGCTTAGACAGAGTGACTTGCAGAACAGCAGGTGTGAAGAAGCACTTTTGAAAAACTTCCTCTAAACAGTCTCCCTTAGAAGTCGGTTCGGTTCTTGAAAACACCTTTATTTGGTATAGAACCTTTACATGGTGTGGAGGGTCTTTCAGCTTTGTTCATGTAGTTTGCAAAAAATGAAAAAAAACATAAACCGAAAGGTTCCTTAGGAAACCAAAAGTGGTTCTTCTACAGCGTCGCTCCGAAGACCCCTTTTCAGCACTCTGATTTGTAAGAGCACATCTGAGATCAAACTGGATTACAGTTTTATTCAACTCTTTAAAAAAAAGGTTCCACAAAAAGTTCTCTGGGTGCTGCCATGGAAGAACGATTTTTGGTTTCCTAAAGAACCATGTTTGAAAAGAAGTTTGTGAGTGTGAAGAACCTGTTGAAGGTTTACAGAACGTTTACACAATGTAAAGATTCTATAGGCATTTCAGGGTTCTTCCTAGAACCTTTACATGGAGGTTCTTTAAACTTTAGAAATGTTGTTAATTTGCACCCATCACATTTACAAAAATGGTTCTCCAAAGAACCATCCACTGAAAGGTTTTTGAGAGAACCAAAAGTGGTTTTCCTATTGCAATGCATGAAGAACCCTTTTGGTTCTTTCACCTTTATTTTTAAGAATGTCTATAAAATAAGATTTTAACTGTTTTGATCAACGAGTGGAAACTACTTTTGATGCGATGAAAAATATTCTTGGCAAGTTGAAGTGTTTTAAATGTGGGAAACATGCTTAACTGTTTCTCATTTTGAAATGTTGTGGCGATATAATCATAATCTTATGACTTCTTAAAGGGGAACTCCACCATTTTTTCAAAATTGCTGCATAATTAACTGGTTAAGATGTAAACAAAGCCGTTCAGAGTGGTTTGGTGTGAAATGCGTCATTCTAAAGAAACCTAATGAGTCCGAATTGTTCACAGTGGTGGTGATAGGAACCAGACGTCCACCTCTAAAATCTCCCCCACAGAAAGTTACATGAAATGGTTCTGAATACTCAGCCTGATGTCTGAAACAATGTTTTATGTTAGTTTCGTAATAAAGTTTTGGTCTTATATATAAACATATGTTAATCCATTTATTCAAATCTATTCATTGTGGAGGGATACATGAAGGGTGTTGTAAGGCAAAATAGTCTCCAGAGAAAACTTCTTTTTTCCAATTAACCACAATATATATATCACATTACATATATTACATATATCAGCATTACATATAAAACTCAGAAGACGTGTAGGTTCACTGGTGGTTTTGCATAGTAAATGGCTGTATTTGTGTTGTAGACATGGTGACCCCTGGTTCCTATCAGCACCAAGAAATCTGAGCCAGTAAGTTTCTGAGCGACTCTGTTTACATTTCAACCACTGAATTATAGACATTTAGAAAAATCAGTGTAATTCTCCTTTAATTATGATGTTGTAAGATTAATTATGAATCATTCTAGCTGTTTCTACACATCTTTTGTTATTTCATCAGGTGAAATCTTACTGCGCTGAGAAATAATTTCACTGGTTTCAAAGAATGATGCTTGTTGGAAATTATTTGCAAGTGCAGTAAAACCATTTAAACTGATAACCTGCCTGAAAATGACTAAAATGTGTGGAGATATAATAGAATTAAAATAATCTTATGATGTTCTTACAGCAGTCTTATAATGAAAAAATCTCTCCAAGATATTTTTTTTCTTCAGTGCACTCTTAAAAGTAAAGGTTGGCTTGGACTTTAAAAACTTTAATCGGTGTAGAACATTTACATTATGTGGAGGTTCTAAAAATTTTAGAAAGGTTCCTCACACTGACACATCTAATTTACAAACATAGATCTTTAAAGAACCATCCACTGAACGGTTCTTTAGAAGACCGAAAGTGGTTCTTTAATGGCCCCAAGAACCCTATTTTTGGTGCTCTTTTCCTTCAGTGCACTCTTAAAAGTTTGTCTTGGACTTATGGTTCTAGGAAAAGAACTTTAATCGGTGTAGAACATTTACATTATGTGGAGGTTCCTAAAACTTAGGAAGGTTCCTCACATGGGCACATCTAATTTACAAACATAGGTCTTTAAAGAACCATCCACTGACAGGTTCTTTAGAAGACCGAAAGTGGTTCTATGGCCACAAGAACCTGTTTTGGTGCTTTCATTTTTAAAGAGTGGAGTGTGGAGTGGGAGTGGTATTGTAGATACCATCTTTCTCTTCCTGGACCACCGACCTGACTCTGACAGGTTCTTTAGAAGACCGAAAGTGGTTCTATGGCCCCAAGAACCCTATTTTGTTGCTTTTTTTCTTCAGTGTACTCTTAAAAGTTTGTCATTGGCTTGGTTCTAGGAAAAAAACTTGAATCGGTGTAGAACATTTACATTATGTGGAGGTTCTAAAAATTTTAGAAAGTTTCCTCACACTGACACATCTAATTGAACATTTACATTATGTGAAGGGAGGTAAGAGTGGAGTGTGGAGTGGGAGGTAAGAGTGGAGTGTGGAGTGGGAGTGGTATTGTAGATACCATCTTTCTCTTCCTGGACCACCGACCTGACTCCAGTCTTTTTCCGACCCGCTGAACATTTGAGGGAAATCTGCCGGTTTTGCAATCATGTCCTTTTGTGATGATCTCATTCTCATGCTGGTGCGTTGCGCAATAACTTGAAGAGCGGGTTCCTGGGGCCCAGGCTGCAGCGCTCACCACACAAGGTGTTTATTTGCTTCTGCCTTTTTCACATGCCAGCAGGCCTCCCTGTGCAGTTATCTTCAGCTCCGCTCTTGTGCTTTCCAGCATCTGATGACTCCCTGTAATGGATTCTTTATGTCACTGGGTTTGATTAATAATCCATGGCTCTTAAGCCCACTGGCCATATGAGAGTGAGAGAATATATAATGGCTGCAAGGGTCTTCAGTGGGGTCTGTGTGAGAGTTTATGAAACAGTGACTTTGAGGCCAGTGATCTCTCTTCTGGTGTTTTCTTCCCCTGATCAGATGCACTGCGGCAGATTTTTAAGCACAGTGTTACAGAGAAAAGTACAGAATTCAAGTTAGTGCAACTGTAAGCTGTGCTGTGTACTTTTGTCCTTTTTTATAGATAATAGCATTTTATACAGGGTCAGAAACCGACACATGCACAGATAGACCTTGAGCCCTTGCTCTCAGATTGTATTTGGTTACCGTGTATAATAAATCTTTCCTATCACTATTCTTCAAGAGCTATTTGAGCGAGGCTCAGCTTCACCCTGAAGTAAAGAAAAGAGTTGACACTGTCAAAAGTTGATGCATCAAGCTTTCTATTTGCATATGTGCAGTGGACACATGAATAAACCTGCAGAAAAAGTTGAAGGGAAATCTTTTAGCCACTGTGGGTTAAATCAGTACATGAACGAATGTTAATGCTAGAGCTAACAGTGGCTGTGTTTACATGCAAAGATTTTTGCCAATCCTATTGAATACATTTCAGTTCTAGTTTAAAAGGTGTTTATATTCTCACTCTACTCAACAATCTGACGGAACATCTCCAGTGCTTGTGTTTTTAATCACTTTAAAATGATGTCAGACTCAGGAAAACGTCCTTCACATGTCTTTATTAAAGAAGGCCGAGAGGAAGACGTCGTGTTCTGAGACACATAAGCTGGACGTCCGTCCCACCGCCGTCTTTTAAAGATCAGAGCATAAACTCCGTCTCCTCTGCAGACCAGTTTCTGCTCTGCCATGTTGAACGTTATAAACTTTCACTATGACGCGACGAACATGATCAGAACGGACTTAAACTTTCTGATTGGGAATGTAATCAGATACAGGCGTTTACACGGTTATTATTCTTCTATTTAATGGATTATTTACAGGATTACAGGTTTACACATTGTCAACTTTTGCAGTGTCATCTTTTATTATTTACAGTTCTACATGTGCAACGTTGACACTGCAAGAATCTCGCATCTACTTTTAACAGTGTCAGCTATTTTAATTACGGAGGGAGTAGAGCTAATGGGTCGGCTGTCGTTCCATGAGCTTCATCGCTCTTGAGCGCCTCCTCTGGTGCAGTACTGATTGCCTGTGGAGGTTTCACCCTTAGTAACTCCAGCCTGACACCGACCTGATGCAAGCAGTGCTTTTTCAGCAAAACTGATGTTCTTTAAAACCTGAAATGGCCAGGGCCCAAAGTTTGATTACACACTTCTATAATCTAAGAATAACTCAGCCAGTTTGCATCGAAGTCCATGTAGTTGCTGAATAATAAGCCTTAGTATGTAATAAGCCTGGGATTTTAGGGGGGTACGAAAGCATCACGTTCTATAATGTGGTCAGACATAATGTTGGAAGTGATAACTTGCCAAAGCTGTAACAGGCCAGAATCTGTGGTGCTCTTCAGTAGAGCTATAACTCACTGATTCATAGCCATCAGATTAATTTTACAGAACTAAAATTGAACACTAAAGTTTGGGGTTTGTGCATTCATAGACAGGAATGCTAGTATTGTTGGCTGTGCTGGGGACAAATCTCTGGAAAATTACATTTAGTTTACTCTAAAACATGAGTACACTTTCTCTCCTGATAAAGGGGCCTGCTATGTGCTGTAAATTAAATCTGAAGTCTAATTTATTTTCATATTGCTAGGCCTGTCACAACTGTTACATACTCACCTGATCACAATTATTTGAGCTGACCACAATTATTCTCCACAGTTGTTAGCGTTCACAATCATGTGTTTAGTCACAACAGACAGAATGTGAACTGACATGGTTTTATTAGTTTGACGGAGGCAAATACATGTAAAGAAAGAAGAAAAGGCTTTTACTGAGACACGTTATGAGTCTTACAAAAACAACTTACTGGTGCTGTAACACCAACAGAGGGCAGCTTGTTTGTTTATATGAACTCAAGCTGTCTCTCTCATCGATTGGGAGCTACTAAGTATCGACAGCTAGGAAGTGAGACAGCTAATCAGCCAATTTGGTCACTTCAGGCTTAGGCTACTTTAATAACTACATAGAATGAACTTAATAACAATCGAATTGTTGATCATGATTATATATGGCAATAAATTGTTAGCTAAAATATAATTATTCTGACAAGCCCACATGTTTCCCCCAGAATGTCTGTGGACAGGCCTGGTGGGGTTGCTACCCATTGGGTTTTCACTCAGAGAGTCCAGTGTTCACGCTGTGTGTCTGGATGTCCAGTTTTAACTGTCATTTGTCAGTTGTTTTGCAGTGTTCTCTTGAATTGTGTGGGAAGAGAATTATCAGTAGTTTTGATCAGTTCTTTTTGTCGTTCCTCACTATCCCTCCTCCCACTGTCATTTTTTTGCCCAGTTGTGTCATTTAGCAGAACTGGCTTTTTTTTTTTTATCACAATGGCCAATCACAAAGAGAGCTGTAAATAAG